TATATATATATATATATATATATATATATATATATATATATAATTATTATATTATAATTATATGAAATGGAAATAATTTTTTTTATCATAATTTATAAGTAAAATTTAGACATAAAATTGATTATTTACATATTTTAAGTAAATTATTCTATCTTGATTCTTTTTTATAAATTTTTTATTTAAATTGTATTAACAAATTTTTATCATTTTACAAATATACAAATATACAATTCATAAAAAAGTAATTCACTAACCTTTGACTAGCTTGTCGATACCATTTTTTATTTCCACTAGGATCATTTTCATGTTGAAGTGTAGTAGAAATATGATCTCCATGAGAATTACAATTCTCCAATTCCATGATTAACTGAAAAAAAATGGAAAAAAAGAATTTATTTATTTTTTAAAACAATTTCTTTAAATTTTCATTAATTTTCATATTAATCTCAATAATTTTTATTTATTGTTTTTTATTTAAGAAATTTTGATTTAATTTTAATGAAATTATTATAATTAGAGAATATTATAATTAAAGATCTTTGAATAAATTTGAATCATCATAATTGAAATTATTATTTTTCAACTACAATAAACATTTGTATCATAAAAAATACTGTACAAAAATTATGATTATAATAAATACATTAAAAATAAAATAACGAAAAATACATTTATAATAGAAATACAATTATAATAGAAACAATGAAAATAAATTATTATATGTATATAATAATGTATGTAATATTGAATAGTAATTATCAATCATTTTTTTTTACAAAAATTTATGAAAATACATAATATATATATAATAGCTGAAAATATCAATTTTCAGTTATTAAATTATTTATTAATGCAGAAATATAAAAATAAAAGTCATCACAAAAAATATTTGTGTAAGTTATTACAAAAAATAAAAAAATTATTTAACCATAGATATCATATTTGTTAATTCAATTCGTTATTGAAAATATAAAAGAACTTATCTAGTATAATTAAATTTTTAATAATATATTCAATTTTTTATATAAATACAGACAGACAAATTAAAAATATTTTTCTTACTTAAGTTTAATACCGATACGATAACCTGTCATTCGAGTACTAATCCAACACTATTGGCACAATGCAAACTACCGCGCACGAAGTTCTATTCATTGAATAGTGTAACTTGCACACAGGTATACCAATGCAGAAACTTGAAGTATTCCTATACTAATTCTGATTTATTGAATATTTATGACATATGATAAACTTCATTCGAACTGATAAATTGTAAATATCATAGCACAGAAGTATAAATTAAATATGTATTTTATTTTATTGTATTATTTTTTTATAATAAAATAATTTTTTCTTTATATAATAAATAATTTAGCAATGTAATAGAATATATAAATAATTGATATTATGATGCATGTAATTAATAAAAATATTTTTGTAAAATAGTATACAACTAAAATAAAAATAAGTAAATTTTTAATATTTCAAAATATCTGTTAATAATGAAAATTTATATTAAATTAATTATATAATATTCATGAAAATTATTTATATTAAAAAAAATGTAATGGCGCCAAATCAAAATATTCAAATGTTTTTATAAAAATTAAATTTTAATTACAAATTTAGAAAAAATTGAATATAAAACATTACAAAGCTATTACAAAATATTACAAAATAAATACAAATATTAAAAAAAAAATGTTTAAATTAAATAACAACAATTTATAAACAAAATAACTTAACAATTAAATAATTTACACAAAGAAATATTTTATTACTATTTTTATCTTTATGATATTGCTATAAACTATTTTCATATTATAAACTATATATACTTAAACTAAAATAAAATATTAAGATTATTAACTTAAAATATTAAGATTATCAATAAAAAAGCAATAAATATTTTACAAAAATATAACAAATATTAAGATAATATATATATATATATATATATATATATATATATATAATATTATATAATATATTAATAATTTTAAATTATTGTAAAAATTTATAAAATATATACAACATACTTAAAAATCGTTCTGCGCTACGTTTCCATTTTTCATATCAGCGTGTGATGATCAATGATTTTAATGGGAACAAAGAAGAAGATACATAATTATCAATAAATGATGCACCTGCTGGATAGTTGAATTGTAAGTTGCACACGAATCATTTTGACCTGCAAAGACAACGGACGAATTCGTTCGTAGCGCCGTGCGTAACCCATCCGTCCGTTGTCGTCTGAATGCCATAATTCGAGGTAAAATCTCGTAATTCGTAGTTTTTGCAATTCTCCACGCGTCCGCGGTACACATCGTATAACTAACAATAATTGAAATGCAGTGCTGAGATCCTTCTGATCAAACAATTACATTGCATCCTCTCTATTGCGTAAAATTAATCCGATTTAAGTGACCTCGACACGACATAACCTAACAATCTGCCTGCTGACAATTCCGAATGACCACGATACAAGTCGTGTGTAAATTTATTCGATTTCGTTGAATGCACGTATAAAATTATGGCTCGGAGTCTTTGGAATGCTTCAGGTAGAGCATGGTCATTAATGCATCGTCACAATTACATTGTAGCCCAACCCATTTTTTTTATTCTATTGTTTTTTAAGCAATTTCATAAAATTGTATCAATATTCAAAACAATTGTTTTATTTATTTACTATTTTGTATAATTATTAATGTTATAATTGTTTATATTTTTTTTACTTTTATAAAAATTATTAATCCATATATAATAAAAATACATAACCTATATCGGTTTTATATTAAATTTGCTAAATTTTTAAACAAATAAAAAATGTATTTGTGTGTGTTTATTTGTAACTATTTTAAATATATTTTTCATATTTTTAAACAATTAATTTTTAGTGATATTCTGTAAAATTATATGATATTATATTGTAAGTATTTTATTGATATATAAATGTGATCAATATTTTTTTTACGTTGAATACTTATTTTTTTGTTTTTAATTAATTTTTATGTTATATGATGAATAATTTTTTGTATTTATATATTTATTATAATGTTCTAATAAATTTCATTTTTACATAAAGAATTTGTGTTTTATTTTCTTCAATATTTTTGCCTTTTGTTTATAAAAATTAATCACTAAATAATATATTTAATTAAAATATAATATAATTGAGAAATCAATATTATTATTATTATTATTACAAATATATATTAAATATTTATGTTGACTTATATTGACTTATGTTAGCATTATGTATATTAAAGAGCAATACTTTCATAAAAATATATATCATTTCTTTATATTATATAGTGAACATTTAATTCCTATTATCTATAACTCAATAAATATTCTAACAATTTAATATTAATTATTAAAAGCAATGCTGTGCTAAGACATCAAACTTCCTAATATTTGTGGCCTAATATTTGAAAAAGTTAAAAAAAAATCAAGAAGATGAATAATCAGGCATTTAGTTTGGCTGAAAGACTTATTCCTTCAACATATGTACAACAAGGTTTAAATGCAAAAAAAGCACGTGAAAATCTTATAAGACATTTTATTGAACATGTAAGATTTTATTTAAAATTTATATAAATGTATTAATTCTATTTTATATTCTATTCTATTTTATCTACTATATTATATCTCTATTTTATTTTATTCTATATTTTATATTAATAATTATAAATAATATAATATATTATATAATTTTATAATAATATATAATAATATTTTATAATAATATATAAATAATAAATATTAATAAATATTTTCTTAAAATAGCAAAAATGGCCAGAAGAGGGTTGGGATGATGCAACAATAGAAGCTTTTCTCTCAGATTTATCACAAATGGATAGCAACAATTTTCCTTCTAATTGTAGTGTTGGAGAACGTGAAGCAAGAATTGTATCAAACATTGTTGCAAGGCGACATTTTCGAATGGGTCATGGTATAGGTAGATCAAGTGATTTAGAAGAAGTACAACCAAAAGCTGCAGGAAGTAGCTTAATGTATAAATTAACAAATGCTTTAGTACTTGAAGTTATTCGATATATGGGTAAGATTAATATATTTAAACTTTTTAATAATTTTATCTGATTGAATTTCATCTAATATTAAATCTTATTTTTCATTATAGGTGTAAAAAGTATAGCAGGTTGTTTTTTATCACCAATGGCTACTGGTATGAGTTTGGTGTTATGTATGTTAACGTTTAAGCAAGATAGACCACGAGCTAAATATGTTTTATGGCCTAGAATCGATCAAAAATCAAGCTTTAAATCAATAATCACAGCTGGATTAGAACCAATTGTTATTGAAACTAAAATAATTGGAGATGAATTGAAGACAGACATGCAAAGACTTGAATCTCAAATGGCAGCTTTAGGTGAAAGTGTTGCTTGTGTGCTCACAACAACTAGTTGCTTTGCACCTAGAGCATGTGATTCAGTTGATTCTATTGCAGCACTTTGTACACAATATAACATTCCTCATTTAATAAATAATGCATATGGGTATGTTCATATAAACAATTTTTTTAAGTATTTTATATAGAAAAAAATATTCTTTTATTAATAATAAAAACTTAAAAGATTCTTTTATAGTTTACAGAGTACAAGATGTATGCATCTAATACAAGAAGCATCGCGTAAAGGTCGTGTTGATGCTTTCGTTCAAAGCACAGATAAAAACTTTTTGGTGCCAGTTGGTGGTGCAATTATTGGTTCATTTGACAAAAATCTTTTAGATCGCATATCAAAAATGTATCCAGGTCGTGCAAGCGCTAGCTCTATTATGGATGTAATGATAACATTATTAAGTTTAGGAATGGCGGGTTATAAACAATTAATAACACAACGTAAAGAAATGTATTCATATTTAAAAGAAGAACTTGGAAAATTAGCAGCAAGACATGATGAAAGGTTGCTAGATACTAAAGGAAATCCTATATCAATAGGGATGACTCTTCAATGTTTAAGTCATCAACATGATAATAAGCAAGTTACAATGTTAGGTTTGATGTTATTTCTTCGCAATGTTAGTGGTACAAGAGTAATAACAACAACAGAATCTAAACATATTGTTTCACATAAATTTGAAGGTATGTGACCAAAAATATGTGACTAGTATATTTGAATAGCAGTTTGAAATTCATTATATTTCTTATTCATTTCATTTAAATCAGGTTGGGGAGCACATAATAGTAATTATCCAGTACCATATTTAACTGCTGCTGCAGCTTTAGGTATGAAGAAATCAGATGTGGATATGTTTATACAACGATTAGATAAAGCTTTGACTAAAGTAAGAAGACGCTCAGCTCCAGTTACACCAACAGCATCTCTTGCTGGATCCAGTATTAATGGAGATGCAGGAGGTACTGGTGGTCCTGGAGAATCTAGTACAGCTTCAACTAGCCGAGCAAGTAGTAAGGATAGTTTGAGAAAATGAACTGTAATCAACGCAACTGGTCAGTCGAATCAGTACATTAATTTGTAAGTAAATTATTACTTACACTTAATACATGTTGCATATTTCTAAAGAAAATGTAGTATTTTTATTTTTTATTTAAATAAGTGATATTTTTGTGATCTATTTATTGGAAATTTATATCTAAAATATATAATTTATTAATAATTTAATTTTTCTCTAAATGAAATCAATTACTATTTATTAAAAATTTATGTAAATATTTTTAAATTATTTGCGAATTAAAAATTTAAATAATGAAAATATATTTTAAAGAGATATGCAACAGTAAAATGTGTTGATTCGCCTGTCCTCTTGCGTTGTAACATCGTCAATTGTCATAAAATAAAATAAAGAAATTCCATATAAACAATATTAACATCAGAATATTTAAAATATTAATTTTCAAAGAAAAAAAATGTTAGTATTCTATATGTTCATTTAAAGATATTAAATGGTAAACGTGGTCAAAATTCTATATTACTTTTTTATGTTGTATACATAATCACTCTTTAAATAATGCATATATCAAATATTTGCTTAAAATAAACATTGAGGAATATTTATTAATTTTTATTTTCATTTTATGTAATATTGTATGAAATTTAAATAAGATGAAATTTTATTAATTTATATTTAAAAACATTTTTCTGTAAGTATATATTTTTTAAACATATTTCATAAATACTATTTTGAATATTTTTAATATCATTTCAGATAATTTTAATTATATGAATAATTAATATCATCAAAATTATTTTAATAGTTTTATCCAATATTATATACATATTATATATATTATATTATATTTTAGTAATTATTACTTTATATTTTAAAAAATATATCACAGGTTTTATTTTTTAAAATAATTTATTTAGGAATTAAAATAATATAACAAATTTATTTTCATTTAAAAATATAATTCTATTAATGGTCATATGGATATATTACTTGTAAAGAGAGATTTATAGTAGATAGAGTACTTGCTTAATCACACTATTATAGAAAGTGTGTATAAAAATTAGAAGCACTATATAAATATAAAAAAAGAATACTCTAAAATCTGTAAAATAAATACAGATATAAACATATGGTTTATGATTTTTAATTTTTTGTTATTATGCAAATATTAATTTGTAAACTTTTTATATATATATATATATATATATATATATATATATATATATGTGTGTGTGTGTGTAATCAACGCAACTGGTCAGTCGAATCAGTACATTAATTTGTAAGTAAATTATTACTTACACTTAATACATGTTGCATATTTCTAAAGAAAATGTAGTATTTTTATTTTTTATTTAAATAAGTGATATTTTTGTGATCTATTTATTGGAAATTTATATCTAAAATATATAATTTATTAATAATTTAATTTTTCTCTAAATGAAATCAATTACTATTTATTAAAAATTTATGTAAATATTTTTAAATTATTTGCGAATTAAAAATTTAAATAATGAAAATATATTTTAAAGAGATATGCAACAGTAAAATGTGTTGATTCGCCTGTCCTCTTGCGTTGTAACATCGTCAATTGTCATAAAATAAAATAAAGAAATTCCATATAAACAATATTAACATCAGAATATTTAAAATATTAATTTTCAAAGAAAAAAAATGTTAGTATTCTATATGTTCATTTAAAGATATTAAATGGTAAACGTGGTCAAAATTCTATATTACTTTTTTATGTTGTATACATAATCACTCTTTAAATAATGCATATATCAAATATTTGCTTAAAATAAACATTGAGGAATATTTATTAATTTTTATTTTCATTTTATGTAATATTGTATGAAATTTAAATAAGATGAAATTTTATTAATTTATATTTAAAAACATTTTTCTGTAAGTATATATTTTTTAAACATATTTCATAAATACTATTTTGAATATTTTTAATATCATTTCAGATAATTTTAATTATATGAATAATTAATATCATCAAAATTATTTTAATAGT